AGACTGAAGGAGAATGGCTGTAAGTCTCATTGCACAAACTGTTTAGAAAAATGAGAAACTCTGTATGTTTTAGAAACTGGAGGTAGAGTGATGCCCTGCAGCTGCTGTATTTTCTTTTTTTAACATGTTTTTAATATTCATATAATTTTCTGGATTTTTCCTTACCTTAATTAAACTTTTTTTTTACTGATAATATGTAAGCCATTATTTTAGGAAGTAGATTATTTTGAAACTCTATCCTAGATCTTCACACTGTCTAAAAAGACTCAGTTCTTCTTTAAGTAAATTATTAATGCTAGTGGGTGTACAGGGAGCTATAGCATGACAGGAGCCAAGACGTCCCTGTGATGCAGAGACAGTTGACAGTATTCTGCTGGCTGGAATGTAATGAGTTATGCTAATTTTAGCTTGATTGTAGAAATCTAGAAATGGGTATTGCAGTATGATATTTCGCTTCAAGGCAAAATGCTTTGCTGAAAACTATATTAAGACTGGCTTTTCATAAACTTTTTGTATTTTGAATTTTGGTTATATTGGAAAAGGAAACTACATAACAGGTCTTAACAAAGGTATGCTCATGGATTGTTTTCTTTCTTAAGATAAAATATTTATCAGATGCAAAGCAATTTATGGTTTTGAATGTTTTAAGGTTACATTTTAGGAGGCTCAGGCAAGAAGACACTGTCTTTTTAAAGTCCAGGAACAGTTTTAAAATGGCAAGCTGTCATTTTTTTCAACTACATGCATAACTCAACTCTCAGTACCCAATCAAAGTTAAGCTGAAAAGAAAACTAAAAAGTATTACTAACTTCTGGTTGGTATATCGGCATATTATGTAAGGCAGGCAATACATAAGGAGAGTCAAACAGTGGTTTGTAATCAATAACATCAAAAAAATAACACAGACTAGACCCAAGATTCTCTGGTGGTGTTACAGTGATCTGATGACAACTCGACATGACCTTGTTCCAGAAGAAAGCAGAAACCAGTGGCAGGGTTATGAGTGTCAGAACACTTCTCACTCCCTGAAGTCAGTTCTCAGTGAATCCCTTTGTGGCTTTGTTATTATTCTACTTCTGACATGTTTAGTCTTTTACACCAGTATTTTTAAAATGGAGTGTCTCCTTACACGCTATTTCAATCTCTCTTTAACTCTTTTGATTACGTTTGGGTTTTGTACTCTGCAGCTGTAAATTAAGAATGGAAAAAATCTTTTTCAGTCTAAATAAGTACGTAAATACTGAGGGTTTAGTATTGTTTAATAATTATGCTTTTTAATGAAACAGCAATTTAAAGGACTACGTGTTCCAGTTCTCGAGCACCCGAAACTCCAGGACATCTTATTAATTCCTGTCATTGGACCCAGGTCTGAAATTTTCCGTCTTTAGCTTTAAAATGTCATAGCACATATTTTACTTATGTTCTTTTTATAATCAAATATCTTTACACTTTACTCTGTAGTAAGAAGATAAGTTTGAGTAACTATCTATCTTATTCACAATTCTTAGTGGCAAAATTCCTTGCACCTGGTTATAGAACCATAGAATTTTAGAATCGCTTAGGTTGGAAAAGACCTTTAAGACCATTGAGTCCAACCATTAACCTGTCACTGCCAAGTCCACCACTAAACCATGCCCCCCAGCACCTCAACTACACGTCTTTTATACATTTATTAGAAGTACTTAGCAGCTGTTAAACACAAGAAATCATATTACAATCCCCTGGCCTAGGAAGGGATAGAGGATTATTTCTCCATCCCCATATAATTTTTCATATTCCTGTGTCAGGTTCATAATAGTGGCAGAATGTGTCAGAATCTGCTTTATTTTGAGGACCACCTCTACTTGGCTCTTTCCTTTGACTCCTCAGTGACTATCTTAAATATAATACATGATTTTTAATGATTTTTTTTCTATTATATTGTGACAAAACCAGTATTTATGAACTAGAATTTACTTTTACTTTTTTTTTTTTAACTGAATAAACTTTGTATTTTTAGGCAAGATTTGAAAAAACATGCAACTGAAGTAATAGTTGGAGCCCAGTGTGGATATGCAGTACTTCGAGGAGCACATGTTTATGTCCCTGGAATCATATCTACCTCCAGATGTAAGACTGCTCTAAATACACCCAGTTAAGCTGTAGAGAGGACAGAAAAAATGTCATCCCTTGATGACAATTTCCAATAAATAGTGACATATTTTTTTTCTATTCACATTAATCTTATTGTTGTAATTTATGGTAAATACTTGCAATAAGTGATAAGAATTCTTTTCAGTTCCTTTTTCCGCATGTAATTCCTAGTTGAAGTTATTAGTTCTCAAGGATTTCAGTTTCTTGTTTTCATTTGAAAAAAAAGAAAAAAGGAAGAGAATA